CTTGTCCTGCTGCTACTCGTCAGAACACCTCCAGCCCTCTCCGTGTTATGTAATACTCGAAACCAGCCATATATCATAAGCTTAATCTCAGTGTGGGGGTTGGAATAGTGATGGCGTCAGGGAGGGAGAAAGAAAAAACCCTTGGTGTTGCAGTTTTATCCGTCTGCTAGCACCAGCAGCCTTCACTTGATAGCAAAAGTCGGCTACAGCGCAGCAACAAATTCCTCCTGAGATCGAGTGCATCCCGGGACAACAGTGTTTTCTCATTTCGGTATTTGTTCGCCACTATCAGCGATTAATCTGACGCTTTATCCTATAAAATAATTCTTAGAAAGAGCATGTTTGTGTAGGTGACTCTCCAAATCGTTGTAATTCAACCCTCAAATGCTTTTGTTGCAAAAAACGCATGAATACAAATACTGAAGTGCAATTACTGCTGTTGATTCTATAATCCGCCACGCCGACGGTGAACTGAGGTGCAGTTTAATCTTCTATAATGATATGAAGAGCAGTCCTCGTTGACATTCAGTATCTGTTGTGTTTTAATAGAACCGGTTGCGGTGCTGATTTAGCTGTCAGCTGTTTTTGAGAGAGCTGTCCGTGGTGCTGAAAGTAGTTTCTGAACCGAAACTTGCACTTGAGCTTTCGTGAACATCCTCCAAACTAGCTGAGCTTTTAAAGCAACACCGTGAAGCACGACAGAATCGACACTTTGACTCTGAGCCTGAATCAGTGACAAGACATCTCTGTCAGCTCCTCTAGAAATCCAATTCTGCAGAAACAGCTCACAGTTGCAGATAAATAGTTTTAATGTAAAATAAATCTGCATCATGAAAGAACTTCCCAAATGCTGCTGAGGCACATTTGACTTTCTGATGGCTCTTTTTCTTGCAAAATTTAATCATGTTTTCCTCTTTAATGTGACTCTGGATAAATAAATCGTCACCTTCTTAGATAAACTGTTAGCCTGTGCATTTAATAATTCTGAATTCAGCCTCGCGTCCACAATGACTGTGCACTAGCAGGTTTAGCCCAGCTGGCACTGCATGTGTTTGGCTCCTTCCTTTGTCTGTGATAATTGGACTCATGGGAGTCTAAAATACTGACTGGGTGACAGCCACAAATGGGAAACAACGGTTGGGTTTGAATTTGTATGCATGAAATGTCTTTTTTGCTGCCAAACGCAGGCTGGCAAATGAGACGTGACCTGAGGATGCTGGGCTGACAGGAAGCGACGCTCGACATGTATGCGCGGGTGTAGCACACGACAAATAAGGAATCTACATATAATCTGACAACTCACTTATTGCCACTGAAGTCAATCATTAAAATAAATAATAAATAAAAGCCGTTCAGTAGTTTCAGCTGCTGAATTGAAAAAATATGTTGCTACTTTCTCTGGTTTATCTCTCCATGGAACTGAGGTGGCATTTATTTCTTTTTTATGAGATTTTATGGATTAAACAATCAATTAATTCACAAAATAATCAACCTGTTAAACAATAATGAAAACAGAAAGCAGAAAATAGAGCAGCGCCATAAATGCAGTGAAATAAATCTTTGTTTTGTACAAGAAAAAAATCCAAAATATCAACAAATGATGCTATTCTGTAACACAGTGTCATTATTATTTATTATTATCCGATATGATCACATGCGACAGCCTGTAACTTTAGTTAAAGCTTTCTCGCCTTTGCTTTGGAGTTTTATATTTTACTACGCCAGAGTCTGAGTAGAATTCAGATAAAGGGACACAACAGGCTGAGAAGCAGGAGGTTAAGCTGCACTGACAAATGCTAAAGTGAGCAGAGTAAACACAAAAGACAGCAGCAAGAAAGACACATTATGAAGGCAGGATTTTTTTTTAAAAACAGCAAAGGACAGACGATAAAGGGGAAGAGACAGGTTCGATTAGTATCCTCAGATGTTGTCTCACGCCATCAGCAAGACGCATCTCGACAGCTTTTGGCTGCCCTTGTCCCTGAGTCACACTAGACATGCAACAGAGAATCTAATCCACCTGAGAGGAAAAGTGTGTCTTAAACGAATGTAAACAAAGCTCCTAGCAGCCAGGTTTTGGGGATTTTTTTCTACTTTTTGCTCAAATTTGTCTCCTTTTCAAGCAGTTTTTGAGCCACCTGTGCTGTAGACAAACAAGCTTTAACCGCTTAAGATCTGAGCTCTTGTTTGATGTGCATTTTTTTTTAAGGATTAAGAGGGGCACCGCTATAGCTCACCTAGTTGCGTCCCATGTAAAGGGGCCATAGTCCATAGTCATAGTCCTTCCCCCTATTCTTCTCCCCCACTTTCCTGTCTCTCTCTCTCTCTATCCTATCTAATAAAGCCCAAAAAAAGCCCCCCAAAAATTAAAAATAAAAATATATAGAAATAAAATAAAAAATAACAAAAAATATATAAAAATATTATTTTAAATATAAAAAACATCTTTAAATTAAATTAAAATTAAATATAAATAATAAACAATAAAATCAATAATAAAATGACAATCATATTTTATTATTATTAAAATAATAATAACAATGTATTAATGTTATTATTATTATCATTATTATTATTACGTTAAAAAATTCACTACTGTGGTAATATAATCCAAAATGTGATCTCCACACATGTTGATGCCAGGTCTTAAGAGGTTAAAACACCTAATACACCTGAAATAACTGCGTTCTGCCTTTTGCAAGTCTCCCACACTTTGGTATTGACTGTCTGGGCTATCCATAAGCTGCAAAAACTGACAGAACGAGGACAAAGCCAGCAATATGGGAGAGCAATAAAAATCAACCATGATGCAGTTTATTCCTATTGAAAGAGAAATAACCCAGCATGAAATCGAATGCAGCTTAAAGCGAGCCAGAACGATTACCAGAATAAAAGACTTTTCTGACAGGAATCAATGCAAACAGGAAGACGGAGATGGAAAAGAGACGCCTTGTCACATGTAAACACACGCAGTATTGTGAGCGTGCGTTGGTTGAGGCCGATAACGCGAGCACAATGGGCGGCTGGGGGGGGAGGTGGAAGGCTGGAGGAGCAGCAGGATGGGAGGACCTGAGCGACGTCACTGCAGCTGGACGGGGAGAGCGAATACATTAACACACACACATAAACGCTGCAGGGTGCTACTTTGCAATCTGCTCGCTGTTACTAGACGCTAAAGACTCGTAGGTCTGACTCACACGTGCAAACAAATCGTCCGCTTGTCACTTTCCCTCGTGATGGCGTTTAAATCTTTCCTCCATCCAACCCACTGGGTCCCCTGGGTGAGGCAGCATAATTAGGCGCAAGCTGTTTCTATGACTACAGCTGAGCGAGTATGTGGTCCAATAAGGAGAGTAAAGACATCAGTTTAGTAGCCCTAATTACTCAACAAAAAAAGAGGGATATTAAAACAAGGCCTCCTAAACAGAGCTGCACAACAGATTAGAAAAGGATGCTGTCACAAAGCTGCTTTTCCAATCATGTTTGCAGCAATGACATTTGAGATCCGGCTGCTCATGTGGAGGAGCAATAGGAGAATGTTTACAGGTATAAAAGTTAGGAAGGAAGCTGCACGAAATTTGAGAGTCTAATTTTTTTAAACAATCAGTGGGCGCTGATATTTATTCTGTTTTAAAAACTGTCCATTGTCAGTGTTCTCTTGTACATATCCCAGATGGTAGTGGGCGGCCACAGCATCCACCACAAGCTCTCCAATGATAACACCACGGGTAGCTTCCACTGACATGTAAACAGTAGGCGTGCCTCCCTTTACTACCAGTTAAGATGAGGATTAGTGGTCATGTGGTGACCTGTAGCGGACCTGTAGATCCACCAGAGTGTGATGGATCGGTTACAAATCTCAAATCAGGTGCCATCTTTCCCCCGTCCAGCGGGGTAAGCAGCATTTTGTCATGGAATACGCAGGCCTGGTTCAGCGTAGGGTGGGGGTTGAGTTGGCTTGGAGCCACAGTATGCCTACACTCTGACCTTGCCTAAGCAGGAAATACTGCTGAATCACACGCTCTGTGCACAAGGGATTAAACATCTGTGAAAGCACCACCCAACAAAAAAACAAAATAACAAAAAAATCTTCCCGTCAAGTGAAATACAAAGAATTCGAGGCTGACAAACAAATAGTGGCACCAACGCTGCTGCCTCCTGCGCACAGTAAGCTTCACTTACAGCATTATAAGCGCTGGCAGACAGATGGATGAGCTGAGCTGGAAGGGCTCAAAGCTCAGGTGGACTCTCTCTCTGCAAGGTCACGCTGCAGCATAACAGATCAGATTTGTTCCCCCTGTTTTGTTTTGTACCACCATCATCATCATCATCATCAGCCCTGGCAGAATGAAAAACTGCACATTTGCAAGACTGAAACCTCACAGCAAGCATCCTTTTCGCACCCTCGCCTGCTCAGGATTAAACAGCCTGTGGGCAACAAAATGGTAGCCCTGCCATAAAAACAACACACTGACCAAGCAGCAGCCTGTAACTGTATCTGCTGTGCAGGAAGTCAGCATCCAAACTGACCCTGCCTCTGCCATGGATGTCATGGGGCAATATTAATATAAACCATGGAAAAATATGTATTCCCAACACCAAACTGAGGAAGTTTGTACACTCACTCAGCCTCCTTTTTAGCCCTCATAAGCATAAGTGGGTTTTCTTGTTGGATTTCAAGTTATTTAAATGAGAATGTGTGGTTCCTGAACGCATCATGCAGCAGTTACCAGATAAACTTCACTGGAGGGATTTATGCAGGCCTAGCCAAATAATCTGCTTGCCTTGGAGCTGTGTGCATGGAGGAAAGCATCGAGAAAACTGGTGAGATATCAGCCTGTGTGGTGGGTTTAAACCTGCCAGGAAGGGGGGGATGGGGACCGGGAGCGTAAAATGAACGTTTCTGCGGCCGCTTGCGTGATGCACCGGGGCGCACCGACATCCACTGCAGCCTAGAGAGAGAGAGGGGGAGAGAGGGGGAGAGAGAGAAAGCTACTTACTTCCCGACGAAGTTCTCCAGCACCGAGCTCTTCCCCGCACTCTGGCCGCCCACCACGGCGATCTGCGGCAGGTCCAGGCTTGCGTTTTGTCCGATGGCGGAGAAAGCATCTTGCATGCGGTTCACCAGAGGAATCAGATCCTCCATCCCCCGGTTCCCCATCTTTGCGGTGCAAGAGGAAGAAGGGCTGTCTTCCCTGTCAGAGCACGGTTTATTACTTGTTTTTGTTTTTTATCCCTATATAAATGTCCCTCTTCGTCCCTCCTCGCCACTCTGGAGGGCGTTTTTGGGTTTTTTTCGTTGGTTTTTGCGCACAAACCGGCTCACTCCTCCGTTCGCTCCCTCATTGACGGCGCCTCCTCGGTGTGTCAGATCACCTCAGCTGTAGGACTCTCTCCGCCACACTCCTCTCCAAACACCGCAGGGGGGGAGGAGGAGGAGGAGGAGGAGGATCTCTCGTATTTTTTCAGGAAGATCCCTGCAGTTCTCCACACGCACCGCTCGGGGGTGACACTGGTGCGCTTTGCCCATGTTGTGTCCAGTTTGGATTTTCCTCAGACTCTGAAAATAAATCCAGTTTTGTGAGAATTTTATCATGTGTAGTTGGAAAACTTGAACACAAATGAGTGTGGTGTAAAAAGCTGCCTCTGGTGCTGAACAATGCTGCAACACAATCCCTGAACCAATGGCCTAAACATGCAAAATACATCATATACATGATAAGATAAGGTAATCCTGTATTGCTCCCCACACCAGGGGAA